CAATGGTATTGTTAAGAGAAAGCGACGTGCAAGATTTACAGGCGCAGATGCAGTTCTTTCGTTTTTGCGGGAAATCGAACATATTTTTAGAACCATCTAAAAGTTCTCTAATTAGTCTGGAAACAAGGGGACTCAATTCTTGCATTCTGTGAAAACGGGTAAGGTTGACTGTAACGTAATAATCTTTATCTTAGTTATCGTTACTTTTGCCCGAGCAACGCCGGGCCCACCTGCTAGTATATAGATAATTATAAATCTTAAATGTCTTTCTTTATAAAAATAATTCAGTTTTTATTCATAAATACACAATCTTTAAGATATCTCATTTTATTTATGATTTTTTTTAAATAAAATAAATTTTCAGCATATTTTATCGTTTATTAAATACATTATTATACATTTGATATAATTAAATTTTTTATAATTATAGAATTAAATTATTATGAAATTAAAGGCCTTTAGCGAATATTTATCCAAGAAATTTAAATACTTGGGTAGGTATGTGGCTACAAACCCGAGTTATTTCATCGTAGTTCCTGTATTTGTGTCAGTTATATTATTTACTGGATTTCAAAAATTTCATGAAGAAAATGATTTGAAACACTTAATTGGACCTACTAATGGTAGGTTCATCAACCAAGAAGCTGTCATAGAAAGATTATTCCCTATGGATTTGTCATACAATGCAAGTCTACAAGGAATGAATAGGGAAGGGTGTATAGCAATTGTTATAATTACAGCAAAGGACGAAGGATCCGTGCTTCGAAAGGATCTGTTTGAAGAAGTGTTACAATTAAACACGATCATTCAGAATATCACCTTGGAAGATTTCGAAAAGCTAAGATATAAGGACATATGTGCGAAAAACAATGGAAGATGCTTTGAGAACAGCATTCTTCTTCTCGAAGACAAAATTAAAGAAATGGAAGGTGGAAACTATTTCATAAAATATCCGCTCATTAAAGAAGGAAGTTACAATTTTCATCTGAATAGTTTGTTTTTAGGGGGTGTCGAAGTTGATGATGACGATAATGTAAAGACTGCGAAATCCGTAAGATTATTTTATTATTTAAACGATGGTTCAACTTACAAGAAATTCATCGCGAAAAAATGGCTGAATTTATTTCTAGATACGTTGGCCGAGATGGACTTTCAGAACATAAACATAAATAGATACACTTCGTTAACAATCGAAAAAGAATTGAATGGTCTTGCAGTAAAAATAATTCCTAGACTTTCCGTAGCAATTGTGGTGATTCTTGTATTTTCTGTGATAACGTGTTTATTTAATAATTGGATCGAAAGCAAACCTTGGATGGGATTAATAGCATTGTTGTCGAGTGGTATGGCTTTGGCCTCGTCTTTCGGTGTCGTCATGTATTTTAATCAACCATTTGCTGCATCTACTGGATCTATACCTTTCTTAATTTTAGGTAAGTTCATTCTTTACACTTTAATATTTAAGAAAATTTCGAAAAATATTTTTTGATGCTGTAAAGTGTACCATTCAAGTAATTGGTTATAAGCTTATATAGGTTATGGGGCTATTTATAAATACGGTTGAGTCAGTTTAAAATCATAAACATGAGTGTTTTATTAGTTAATTATGCTTCTATGTCCTTGATTCTATTTTAGATTACAGTAGACCCCTATAACACTGTTGATAATTACGTGTTATATAAATTCCGTGTTGTACGAGTCACTTAAATTTTACAAATACGTGTGCCGGGCTGTGAACTGCACGTATTTGTAAAATCTAAGTGACTCGTACAACATGGAATTCATATAACACGGAATTATCAACAGTGTTATAGGGGGTCTACTGTATTATCATTTACTAGGACTTCTATGTAATAATAGGATTATTATACTGGTGTGAAGGATCAAGTAAAACAAAAGAGATATAATTAGTAAAAATAAGAAAATTCTGTTTAAATTTTGACTAATGGTTCCTCTTTCTCCAATAGATCACACCAGTATAATAAGTCCTATTACTATACAGAAGTCCTAGTATAAGATAATTTAAAATAGAATGTGTTTTATATAGCATTAGATAGAAATTCGTTCTTTCTGAAAATAAATAGTTTTTTATTTATTTAGAGTTTTTCTATTTCACATAAAATTTCATATTTTAAAATTTTTATATGCAGGAAACGATGAATATATTTGTATAAAAAGCAAATGGATCATTCGATTATAAAAATCATTCGAAATATGGATTGTAGGATTAATAGGATAAGGCATGGGATAAGGCACAGCACATGGGTAATCTGCTAAGAGGGGAATTGTCTCCCGAAAAGACTTTTATTGATAACTGATCCCTATTTAGGTGTTACAAATGTGAGGAAAACCTGGAAAACTCCGTGTCGTCAGTTCGATTGTAAGGTGCGAACCCACAACCGATTATCGGTGTTGGATAGTTTTATCCAAAAACATTCGAAATATCTCGCGAACATAACTAAAATCATCCCAATAATTCATTGGACTTTTCTTTGTGCCGACTGGATGGCCAAGACGGTTAACGTCCAGATTTTGGCTTATCTGTCATTGATCCAGTCTTTCGGAGTTTTTCAGCAATTTTATAATTGCCACTTGCGTGACACAGTCTCTATGGAGATATCGTTGGTTAAATGCATTTATAATGACACGTGTACGCCTTTGTTTAGAACATTTTCTTTTGTTTCCATTTGGGTTACATTAAGGACAGCGGTAGATCAAATGTATAGTTTTAAGTATATGTTGTGCCTTTGTAGTCTACATACCTGTAGTCTAATAACACAACAGAGGATAATCTGAATTTTTCTTCAAATTCTAACCTAATGTTGTGTATCTTACGATTGCATTCTTATTTTAAAATTTGAGGCGAATTAAAGATGGCGTTCGTCGGATTGACACAAAGAGTGTTGATCTTAGAAATAACAAGTTTCTATTATGTCAAAATTTTCTCTGCCCAATTCAGTTCAATTTTATAAGGGTATTAAACAACTTAAAAACTCACCCTGAAATGAGAAGTAAATTAATATTTTAAAAAAAATCCAGCAACGAGTTGTTTAACTTTTCCGGCAACATTTAGTGGCGCCATCTGTTATCAAATTTTATTTTTAAAATTTCTAATATTTTTAACTATTATAAAATGGCAAAAAGCTTAATTTCGTGGGTAGGAATGGGTGTTTTAAAAAATTATAAATTCTAATAACGAGTAAAATCGTCATTAAATCTGAGATAAACACGATCTTTTTAATTTCTCCACCTGCTCGACCTTTAATCACCAAAATTTAATAGCATTAATCCCCTAATACACAAACCTCGCTGCAAAATTTCATAAATTTTCGACAAAAAGACACAGAAGTTACTAAGCTTGGCGCTTCGAAGCAATATCATAAACTTTTTATTTTTGTCACTTCGCGTTTTTGCTTTAGCAACGTGGTGAAGTTCTCAAGAACAAATTTCAAACGCATTCTTTGTTTTTTTACTCCCATACTGCACAGTGGCTAAACGTATTCGATCCCTAAATTTACACTGGTAGTGGGCTCGAGTTGGCGCTTTAGCCATCATGCTGGCTCGTGAAATTTTACAGGTTTCCTTCGTGTCGAGGGCCAGTTTTCTTTACAAGTCCTCCCAGAAGTCACATTCCCTCTAATGACACATGTTACGTGCTAGTATCTAAAATCAATCAATCATCCATATACACTTACAGATTGATTTATTTGCTTTATGAGTAGCTCATACGCTACTTAGTTTCATTTTTTCGCGTAACATACGAGCTACTCAAAAAATAATACAAAAAATAAATAAATAAAGGTTAAGATATCTTTTTACAAATGCCAAGTCTTTCGAGTAACTGTATTGCGCGATGTTTCATAATTTTTAGTTGAGTAATAGCAAAACATACTTTACCTGACGTACGTGATAAATAGGTTTTCCTGTAATATTTTAGTATTATTGGGGAAATTGTTTGAAATGTTTTGGATAGATAGGGAACGAGTTAGGATTGTTCTCATAAAAAATATACAGGAATGTATTAAATTCAGATAATATGGTTATAGGAGATGTAGGTGTAAATATTATATTCATAATTACTCTGTATTTTATAGCTAGCGAGATGTTTTTTATACACGATTCTTGTATTTCAGGTATAGGTATGGATGATGCATTTGTATTTTTAGCTGCTTGGAAGAGAACAGACTCGACAATGAGCGTGGTAAACAGAATGGAGAAAGTTTATTCTGAATCTGCCATTTCTGTTACTATAACTTCAGTCACTAATTTTATAGCATTTGTGTCTGGGCTTGTCACTTCGTATAGAATAGTAAAAAATTTCTGTATGTACGCATCGCTGGCTGTAGTTTTCTGCTACGTTTATCAACTGACGTTTGTTGGAGCGTGTATGGCCCTTACGGGATATTTGGAAAAACAAAATAGGCATTCTCTATTTTTAATAAAATTGGATAAGCCAAATGGTAAATATGAATTTGGTTTAAAGATAGTTGTAATATATTAAACATAGTTCAAAATATTGATAAAACCTAAAGTGAAAGATGTATTAATTACTATTAATTATTTATTTAGTTAGTTTTGTTTAAATGTTTTCAGATAGAATTTATAATAATTAAAATATATATGACTTTCAGAAAACCAGACTTGGATTCGAAGATTTTTCTGCACTAATTGGAGTTGGAAATCTGAAAATGGAAGAAAGAATTCCATTTCTTCAATATGGATTCATCTTGGAAACATTTTATCAATTTGTTATGTCAAAATCATCGTCGTTTTAATAATGTTTGGTCAAATTTCAGTAGGAATTTGGGGAATTACGAAAACTCAGAACGTCGGAAATTTTGCCGAGTGTGTTACTTACGATTCATATTTTGTAAAATACCACAAGAATTATTACGAGTATTTCAATCGGTATAATCTCAGATATCAAATTATTATAGACGAAGAAATCGATTATGCAAATAAAAATATTCAGGAACAAATAGAAAAACTTGTAACGGATATGCAAAATGAAGATTTAATCGAGGATTCTTTAACAGAATCGTGGCTCAGATCCTATTTAGAATTTCTCAATAACAAAAATGTTTCTAACATCATAAGACTATTTAATATAAATGATAAAGAAGATTTTATAACTGTTTTGCGTAAGCTGTTCCTTCGTCATCCTGCTACTCGGCACTTTACAAACGACATAGTTTTCAATTCTAATTACACGTCTATAATTGGAAGTAGATTTTTCTGTCAATCTAAAATCATTAACTCCCATAAAGAATTTGTTAACGTCATGAAATCTATGAGAAATATCGCAGATAATTCACCCTTTAATGTCTTCCCTTATCATTTTCTTTCCTATACTGTCGATGATTCGGAGCAGCATGTCAGCTTTATTACACAAATATTAAGTAGTATCGTAGTTATAGTTATTATTGTTTGTTTTATTTTTATTCCGGATGGAATAATTATTTTCTCTGTTGCCTTCTCAATAATTTCCACTGAAACTTGTGCCTTAGGTTTCATGGCTTTGTGGAATGTCCGCTTAACTCCCGTTTCTATCATTATTTTAGTTATGTGTGCAGGATTTTGTGCAGATTTCTCGGCTCATTTTGCTCACTGTTATGTAGAAAATGACAGCGAAGACCATAACAAACGTCTTCGTAACACTATCTGTTCCATAGGATTAGCCATATTCCAAGGAAGCGTAACAACAATTTTCTCGATAATACCCTTAGCATTTCCTTTAGCTTCTACATTTCTTACCGCATTTAAAGTAATATTTTTAGTTACTTCATTTTCTGCACTAAATGCTTTGGTATATTTACCCGTTTTGTTAGTAATCATGAACACTATGAAGCAAAAACTATGTAGGAACAAGAAAACCGACATTAATAACAATACAAGTAAAAGTGTTAATGGAAATATAAATCCCGGTTATCAATTTACCGAAACTTCAATACGTTTGTAATCACATCATCTATATAAAATTTTTGAAACTCGAAAAATATTTTAAAGTGTTATATATAAGGCAGGCTTTTTCCTCTAAATAATAAAGAATGAAGTGTAAGGCCTTAAATAGAAGCCACGAATCATCAGGCCTTAATTCTAGCTTGTTTATTTTATGTGTATATTATGCCATTATGTAGAAAACTTAACATTTTTTTAAATTGTAGTTTATATGTATTACGAAGAAATTTGAATTTGTTTTTTTATTAGTAAAATGTAATAATTAAATAATCCCAAGAAAAGTATTTTAGTGACTCTAAAAACACACACTGTGAGAGTTTAATATAATTATTTTCGCGAACTACAAGTAAATGCCAGTATATTGATGCAATAAACCAATCAGAGGCTTGTTTTATCCGCTTTAAGTGGGTTGTACAGGGTGGTTTGAATTAAACTGAAGTAGAATTGCGTGGAGGATTACTGAACCGAAATGAATGAAAGTTGGTTCACAATTAAAGACAATTATAAGAGAAATGAACCAAATTTTATTAGAAGAATAAAATTATATTTTATATATTTACAGTGTGCTCAATGCAGGATCCTTTTTTGTCGACTACATGTTGTAATCGTAAATCGTAAATTTACCTTATCGACTGTCGTACGTAACATTTCAGGGGAAATCTGGGAGACACGTTGCACTGTGCCAACCTTTCACCCCCGACATAGAGTACACGCGCCCTTGATTAACACGATCTTTCCAATAACTCTATAGCCAGAAGCTGCTGAACAGCGCTACATTTCCTCCTATGGTAAAAATGTCAACTAAGTTTTCTCTCCATAAACCTCTTCCCCGTGATCTGCATTGCAAGTATACCGGCGGGTTTCATTCGATTCGGTTCAATAGAGTATCTGACGAGTTAGTCTAACCACTTTGTATGAAGACCAGACTCGAATTGTAATTCAGGTCCCTCACGCTATAGAATATGAGCAATAAATTATAGAATGTCTTACATGAATAAAAAGTAGCCCTTCTTATTAAAAACTTTAAATTTTTCCGACAAATCCCACAATTTCAAATTATTATATTTAACAAACTGGACTGTGATCGTATCTTTACCTACATGTGTTCTTTCTCAGAAGGTTCGTGCCGAACTCTATACGAACCTCCTAATAAAGGAAATCCTGTGACCAAAGTAGTATTACAGTCGCGTTTAAAGTACATTCGTAAGATGCTTATAAAGTGAAAGGACATGGTATCAGGTAAGTTGACACAATGAGTTAACAATGACCACGATGATCATATTCTAGCGAAATGTCTTAGATACAAAATTTAAATTCTTAAACAACAAAATACGATTGAAATTTTGGGGAATATAAGTATACAGAGTGGCTGGCTTTAAAGTCAGTTATCCGAGATACTAACAGTCAGTTCATTCAGTTAATCGACTTCTGGGTTATGCTGTACATATAAATATTTTTTTTTTCAAAAATAACTAACAACATATTTTAACTTGTTATATCATTTAAAAATTTCTTTTTATAATAATATATACAAATTAAAATTTCTAAATACCTAAATTTAGAATTTCGATTTAATTATTATAATATCAACATTTAAAATTTGAATTAAGAGCAACAATTTTCCTGATTACATTTCCTGATTAATTTAAGGATAATTTTTAATAAATATATTAGCATATGTTTATACTAGCTGTTACCCGCGGCTATGCCCGCGAGGATTTTGCAAGCAAACTCTATTTATATTCAGTATTTCAACAACCATAGTAAATAACACCTACCGCTGTTATATAACACCTACCGCTGAGAATGATGAGAATTGCCGAGAATCAAACGAACTATTTTCAATTTGATCAATTTTCTGGAACGTTTACAATCGTTCTATAATCGAACCAATATGCAATAACAAATTCGAATTTAAAACGGTTTGAACATTCGGTTAAAAAATCTATATCTACATCTATATATAAAAATGGACGTGTATGTCCCTATATTTCACTTTTCCGCAAAAACTACACATCGCACGTGAATGGTGTTTGTATGTGGTGGTAGCCCCAAGTCTCCATTCGTGCATAGGGGTGGTTGCGTCTCGATAGCTATAAGGGTGCGTGAGATATGAGGCTGAAAGTGGTTGAAAGTGGCTTTCTATTTCGAATGTTTTGTTCGAATTTAATTCGAGCAAATTCGAACATAAAATTCGAATATTGGTTCGATTATAGAACGATTGTAAACGTTCCAGAAACGTTGAAAATAGTTCGTTTGACTTGACGTGAACAGGAGACGTTCAGAAATAGAATCGGGACCAGGAAGTGTTAATATAAAGCGGCATGCAAGATTTACAGGCGGTTTTTTGCGCTTTTGCGGGAAATCGAACACATTTTTATGCTCATGTAAAAATTCTCTGGAAACGTCTGGAAACGGGAGACCTAATTCTTGCATTTTGTGAAAACGGGTAAGATTGGCTATAATGTAATTATCTTAATCTTCACTATCGTTACATTTTGCCCACAAATAAAAATCCAGCGAAGCGGGTCCTTGCAGCTAGTATAAAATATATTTATAACAATGAATGAAACGTTATCAATTTAATACACCTAAGTACTCAATGAAGATTAAACGTAGTTGAAAACAAAAAATCGTATATAAAATAGTACAGTAGAAGCCGTTCTTCCGGTTAAGCCTTAATTCTCTCACTCTCCCGCGGGGGAATTTCAAAACATCCCTTTTTAGTGTGCGTTTTCATGACGTACCCTAACTGTGTACCAAATTTCACCACTTTAGGTTCAGCGGTTTGCTCTGGGCGATGATGAATCAGTCAGTCATTCATTCAGTCAGTCAGGACAAGTAATTTTATATATTTAGATTATTAACATTTTAATATTTGATGTCCTTTTTATATCAAATAAGAAACGTAATACCCATTTTCATCTTCATTTAGACCTATATAAAATTGAACATAAAATAAATAAATATTTAATTGAAGGTGAAGATCCTCTTCAATCTTCAGTTTCAGAAAAGTGCATCATCTTCATCAATTGTAGAAGAAGAGAAAATAAAGAGAATCTTCATAAATTGAAGAGAAGATGAGGATTCTCAACAACAAGTCACTGTTTTCTTTATAAAAAACGATAACAATAATATATAATGTGTAATAAACCGAATTCTGATTATGATAAGCAAAGTTTCTGTACTTTATTGTTAGCATGTCCTAGACATACAAAGTACAGAAACTTTGTATGTCGTAGGACATGCTAACAATAACAGACTGCTAACATTAACAGCAAGCGCAGTCTACTGTATCTTCGAGACGAAACCGCGATAACTATATGCCATTTTATTGAAATTAGGGGAAAATTTAAAGTTTTTTTCTTGGAATTATCTAATACATATTATAATATTTCCTGTTTATATACGAGGAAAATGATAAATCAAACGTATGACAAAATAAGAGAAAAGTTATACTTCCTCATCGATAGATAAAGTATACTTATACAAGCATAATTTTGATAATTATATATAGAGAATTACTTTAGAATGTAGAATATATATAGAGAATTTATTTCTAGAATATACAGCAATGTTTAAATATAATTTCAATTCGATAATTTAATTAATGTTTGTCTTTACTTGCACGAAAATTTCTAAATGATTTATCCAAGATGTAAATAAATTTTTCTTTAATGAAAATATATTTAGAAATTAGTAGCTTTTTTTAAACCATCCCGAAAAAAGTTCCGAAAGCTTCGATTCATTGTAGGAGAATGGATCGGATTCGGGCTCCAAAGGTTGACTAAATGGCATCTTATCTCTTAAATATGTATAAAATTCTTTTAATATGGAACATTCGCTGTATAAAATCTGAAGCAGTTCCATGATGTTTCTGTTTCCCATTAGTTCTCGTAAAGGAATGTTTAGCGGGCAAAATTCTAAAGATGTTCCATATGTATGTGGAGAAGCACCGAAACATTCCAAATTGCAGGAAATTCTCTCCTTCAGACACCAAATTTCCGTCAGCCATTCATTTTGAGACAAGCATTCGTTCTTTTCTAATTTAATTTCCCAACAGTTGATGAGAGTCTTCATAACTGCTGACTTTTCTAAAACTCTTAGATCTTCAAGCAAGCGACATAATCCTTCTAAATCGATGATATCTGGATGTGCATTTGACGAATACTTCTTGAATAGATTCAAGCATTTTTCTTTAAATTCGTGGCTATCTTCTATATTTATTTTTTCCAATTTTGAAACGATAAACTTACTTAAATCATTATCCATTTTTTACAGATTTGTTTTCAATTATCGACGATTGCACTTATTATTGAGTTTGTTTCTTATGTAGAATATTATTATGTCATTCTTGGTTAACAATATAAAAATCTCAATTTGAAATATGCAGTTTTGGCATAGGAATTTTCAATTTAATATGTATATAAAAATATATATAAGTTATAATTTACTTTTTATAAGATAAGAATTCTTATTAATATAAAGAATAAAGTAAAAAAATAATAGTGAAAAATCCTGAATATATTTAATTTTGATTATAAAATCTATAATAGATGTGATGAAGTGATGAAAATTCTGAAAGATGGGCATTTCTTGGATAAAGTAAAAATGTTTTATTAACTTAAAATAAAAATAGTATAAACAAGCAATTATTTATTGTGATATCGTCACAATTCCGGGTATCGCAATGCTCTTAGTTTTTGTAGTGTTTTGCCCCTGTACATCATACTTTTCCTGATAACAACAGAATCATTCTGGTCATATGTAGCTTGGTTCTGAGGGAAACTTTGAATTAAAAACACGTAACTTCTCTTCTACAACGGAAGTTCATATATAATTAATCGGTGTTGCCTGTCACTGAGCTTTCCATATCTGGTTTCGACTTTCATCTATCTAACACCATTCTCGATATTAAGTAAAGACAATGGGAATTTACAAGAACTTTACATGAAATTTAAATAAAATTTAAGTTTTACATACAAAATTTAATGTTAATCT